TGTGTGTGTGTGTGTGTGTGTGTGTGTGTGTGTGTGTTTGTGTGTGTGTATAGAACCTGCGATGGATGGCTCCCGAGGTCTTCACTCAGTGCACACGCTACTCAGTCAAGGCAGACATGTTCAGCTATGCCCTCTGTCTGTGGGAGCTGCTGACTGGAGAAATTCCCTTTGCACACTTGAAGCCCGGTAATTTTATTTTATTTTATTTTATTTTATTTTTTCGCCCTCATGTTGTATTTAGTGCGCATTGGCTAAAATCAGGCAGTTAGCGCACACGCTTGGTGTGCAAATGAATCCATAAGATGAATGCAGATAATGTCGCCTGAAATACCGTCTCAGCCCAAAACGCTACGCTAGGTCACAACTTGTCCCTTTTGGTTCATATATAACCAAAAGGGTCCCGGACCAGGACTTGGCGCTGAGCAGTGTCTGTATTTGACAATTCTCTCTGTCTTGCTGTCCTCAGCTGCCGCAGCAGCAGACATGGCCTACCATCACATCCGCCCTCCCGTTGGCTACTCCATCCCCAAACCCATCTCTGCACTTCTGATGAGGGGATGGAACGCATGTCCAGAGGTACAGTACAGTACGTTTTATTTATGTATTTATATATTATTTATAAGCCATCCATTTTTGACACCTACTAACAATCTAACATCTCATTTCAGGACCGTCCAGAGTTTTCTGAAGTAGTCACCAACCTGGAGGAGTGCTTATGCAACGTTGAGGTACACTATGGACAAAAATGTCTGCGCCATATATTCAAGATAATATTATTATTATTATTATTTATTATTAATATTATTTTTAAATGATCATCATCTCCATGCCTGCCAAATATGCCAATCCTACATCCTTGTTTTTGTGCGTCCAAAAGCTGATGTCACCCGCCTCCAGTAACAGCAGCGGCTCCTTGTCGCCTTCCTCGTCCTCGGACTGCCTTCTCGCCCGAGCTGGGCCCAGTCGGGGTCACGTGGCCGCACTGCGGTCCAGGTTCGAGCTGGAGTACGCACTCAACACTCGAGCCTACGCCTTCTGGAGCCAGAGGTGAGAAGAAATGACCGAAATCTGGAAGCCCGCTTTTATTTGAACCCCCAAACTGAGAATTGTGAAGCGGCTTTCAAAGCCATTGTCCTCTATCATCTGTAATGTTTTTTGTTCTTCCCGTCACCTCAAACTGTTGCTTTGTTGCTGTTATTTGTACAGCCTTTTGGCAAACTCTTACCTCTTGTTTTTACAATTGCTCAGGCAGGAAGAGAATTACGGCAACAGTTGGCACGTGGAGTTGCTTGGATACCAAACAGACAACAAAGGGCAGCAAGGGCGAGTCATCGGGTTGCACTTAAGCAGAACTGGCCCCGCGTCTCCATGGGGCCTGCAGTGAAATTTTACTTCGGGAGGCTTCTGTTTGTGCCAATAGTATTGATTATTGATCAATTCACCATTGAAGTTTTCCCTGAGGCATTATTAGGGATTCAAGTGCTAAACCACCGTTGGAATACAGAATATCATTTTGAGTAGGTCATCGATTAGTAGTCAATGTGAGCGGGAGAGCGGGGAGGAAAGTGTGATCGCGTTTATGTTTGGACTTCAGCACTAATCCATCGTGAGGCCGACTTTTCAAACGATTTGATTTGGTTCGTTTTTGACTTTCAGTGAGCGGAGGCGCGCATCTGGCGGCCTCTCCTTGGAGGAAATAAGAAGGAGCATGCAGTTTTCCCCCATCGATCGCAACGGTTTGTCCACTGTTGTGCGATTGTAACGGCGCAATATTGATTTGTCATGTCACCTTAGAATAGGATTTCATTTAAAAAAAAACTCATTCATATATTTAATGGTATACAATATATCGTCCACGAAGTACGGTTTACTTTTATACATTTATTACCTCTGCCACGGTAGGCTGCAGCGATCGAATATTTTCATGTTCTTTTTTGTTTTGCAGGTTACGTGTCCGATCCCATGAGCACCATGCGATTTTGCTCCTCCTTCAGCAGCAATGGCAGCTTTGAAGACAGTAACTAACACTTTTTGACTTGGAGGTCAGGCTAGTTGAAAGGTTGTGTTAGTGATTAGTTTGCACTCACGGTTCATTTTTCACTGAGCCTTACCTTTTAACTGTTTATCATGTTGCTCTTTTTTTAAATCATAATCAGTAAAATCTGTGATGGGTACATTTATTATATTTATTTGTCGAATTGTAAGCGAATTTTTAAATGGGATTTAGTTGTGCACTTTTAGTGTAGTACCATGTTATGCCACAACATTCTGGGCAGCACTGAGCTCTATTGGAAAAGGTGCGGTTTTAACTGCACAGAAGAAGAGACAGATCGTTTTATAGCTTGATATACTGTATTATGTAGTTTTATCTTTTTTTTTTTTTTTGACAGCGAGAGCCGTTATGCAATAAAATGTGTGTTTTAACAAGCTTAAATGTTTTTTTTTAAAAGCTTTCAATGTGTTTAGAGGGTGTGGGAGGGCATACGAAATGAACACAAGCAACTTTATTTGTCACACTTTTTAATTCGTCAATGGCCAAAACACTGACAAGAGGAACGAAGCCACGCAAAGCCGCACTGGAGGTGAGTAAGGCAAATAAATAATCCATGTAGGAGTAAATAGAGGCTAGTGTTGAAACCGTTTTCATCATTTTAATGAGAAGAAACAATGACGTAACATGAGCGCTGCTCATCAAGCCATACTCTACAGAAGAACGCGAACGAACTTCGTGTTTCATTGGGGGAACGTCACCCAAGCAGCGAAGTCCTGGGAGACCGGTCGCTGTCAATTATTCATTTTGTGAGGGTTGTACGTGAGCAGGAGGATCCGCTTGCAGGTAAGAGACCATTTCACTCGATAATGAACCAAGCCTGTTTGAGAAGAGATCTGCTTTTCTTCAACTTCATTGCCGTGACCATGACTAGAAGCACTCAAACATTGTAAAGAAAATTCAAGCGAGAATGCTCGTTAATTTTTCAACCTTGTTATGTTTTTTTTTTGTTCTTGTCGATGTTACTATTGTCTTGGTTTTGTCTTAATTTTCTCAGTGTTGGTCTCGATTCGGTTTCTACTTTCAAAAAGACTTTGTCAGGCCGTGGTTTCGGTGAGTTCTGGTCTCGAGCAAGTCATGTGGTGCCAGATATTGTGGTCTTGAGCACCACACTTCTAATAAAGTGCACCCTGAAATGCCATGGGAATCATTTATTTGTTGAACATTTACCAAAATATTTCCCCCGAGGTTTTGAGAACCACTGATAATATACGCAGTGATTCCTAAGAACCACTTGGCAATCATCGCCTTTAAAAAAAAAAAAAAAAGACGACCTTTGCGATAAGGATCATGGCCATATGTGAATCAGTCAATGTCTGCAAGCGCGCACAAAGTAGCCACTTGATTAAATAACACCCCTGGCGGGAAATGTTTCCAGTCGAAAACTGCAGACCAACATGCTGGCTAATGTCCACTCTCGGTTCTGGAAGATGCCAATAAAGGATAAGAACTTGGACCCAAAGGCATTTTGTTCAATGACCACACGCTCAAGCGGTCTTGACTGACAATATCGTCCGTCAGCCGCGTTCTCCGGTTGACGGACGCTTTGTCCTCGACATCCACGTGACTTCCGATGTCTGAACTGGACGTTTGGAAATGGCCAAGCCCGGTTAGCTCTTCTTTGTGCATCTTTCCATCCGGAGATGTCGGCTCTTCGACTTTCTCGAGCGCAGGATGCGTTTCGTTTTCCGGCGAGCCGTTCACGCCTTGGGTTGCCGTGGGCTCGACATCCAAGCGGGCCACATTTTCAACGATTTGCTCCGCAGTCTCATTTTTGATTCCTGGCGTGCTCGCCGCTCTCCAGCCGTCTGTTGATTCAGCCTTGTCTTCCGCAAGTGATCCTTTACGCTCGTCTTTGGCTATGAGCTTCGTTTCATTCTCGGTGTTTAGTCGGAGCGGTTTCACGTCATCCTCCACGTCGTCATCGGACACCTCCCGGTCGTCTTTCGTGGGATTTCGCTCGGGGTACGACTGAGCTTCACCTTTGGTGTGACCCACTTCCGCTGCCATGGCTGCAACCTCCTCAGGGGACGTCTCAACAATTTTCAGAAGCTCGGAGGATTGTCTGGTCTCCTCGGCGCCACCCACGTCGGACTCCCTGAGGTCTTCCAGAGGTTCAACAAAAGTTTCAAAGAACTTGGACGCTTGATGTGTGGTTAACCAGTTGGTGACGAGCTCTGCGCTACTTGCTCTTGCCAGCGCCTCTGGACGTTCCCCATGCGGGAGCTGGTTGACCGATTGACTATTTGACTGTTTTCGGGTTTGGAAAATGGCGCTTGCGCTTTCCTCCGAGGCTTTGCCGGCCTCCTCTGTCCCAGCCTCAGCCCCCGGCAGCTTCAACTCATTTTGGCTCGGACATTTGGAAGACTGTTTCTCTTTGGGGAATGTTTCAAGCGCCGCACCGACTACGGATGACGGACCGGCCTTGTTTTTCGGAGTTTCTTTCTCGACCTCGACGTCTTGTATGTTTCTTTTTGAATCATCGGAGACGAGCTCCCGGATTGCGTCAACTCTCGGCGCTCCGGTTTCGGAGTCGTTTTTGTTACGCTCTATCTCGGAACCACCTTCTACCTTAGGGACTTTTTCGTTTTTTTCCAACTTGACGTCCAAAAGTTTGCGTTCCGCGGACTCTTCGTCAGGCTCTCGTCCTTTTTCACTTTGCTCCGATAAATTGCCCCCACGTTTGTCCTCGGGAGAGCCGCTTTCTTCTTGAGTGGACGTTTCCCCGTTTTCAGCGTCCACTTGACTCCGTTGACCTTTTTCGATGATCCGAACTTTGTCCGCCGTCGTCTCTCCCGTCGCGCTCGTCGTATTTGCTTCTCGAAAGACACCAACATTCTGCGTCGGAACAATTTTTTGGTCCTCACTTTGCTCTTCTGACGTTTTCTCCGCTTCCTGAGCGTCCTTCGGTGATACTCGTCGTTCTTCCGTGTCGGAGTTGACAACCTTCTCCCCTTCGGGGTTAACTGTTGCATTTGTGCCTTCTTGTGCTTTGTTCGGATCTTCTCGTTCACTTTGCTCCGTATTATCGACGGTTGATTTGTTGATTTGGCCACCTGTCTCTGTCTCAGCAGGAACGATCTCTTTGTCGTCGTCTGGACCCGTCACATCGTGACTTCGCTCCGCTTCGTTCCCATCTTTGTGTCTCGCGTGACTTTCCTCCACGTCGTCCGGAGTTGCCTTTTTGATTTCTTCGCCGTCGTAGGAACGCACCGTCAAGTCGGTCGCATCTTTCCCCGCGTCGTCTTTCTCCGTCACTGCTCTTTCTTTTTTATCATCGGTGGTCGATTTGCTTATTTCGTCACCTTCCTCGATCTGAGCGTCAACTGTTTTCTGTTCTTCGTCGTTGTCTGTCACATTTTTTCTTTCTTCAACTTTGTTTTCGTCTTCGGTTGCTGCTTCAGTTTCTTCCTCGTTATCAGCGGTTGCTTTGTCCAGTTCTTCTCCTTCCTGGACCTCGGAAGTAACAATTTTCTCTTTGTCATCTTGAGTCGTCCAATCTTCAATTTCTTCGGCTACATTCTCAACTTTTCCCGTCACTTTACTTTCTTCCTCGTTACCTGTAGTTGCTTGGTTGGTTTCTTCACTTTCGGGCACGATACTTTCTTCAGCTTGACTTTCTTCAGCTTGACTTTCCTCCACGATGGCTTTTTTAATTTCTTCATCTTCTTCCCTTTGAGCAGTAATCACGACATCGTCTTCGCCTGTCCCATCTTTACTTTCTTCGGTTTCCTTCTCGTCTTTCCCGATCGCAATTTCTCCATCGTCAGCGTTTGTTTCGTGAACTTCGCCGGCCTTTTCTTCGTTTGCTTTTTTGGCCTCCGCGGTCTCGTTTTTTGTCTCCGTTTTTTCCGATTCATCAGGCTCATCTTGATCGAGGGTTGCCACCGCTTCGCCTTGGTTGGTTTGTGTCTCGTCTTTTGGATCCTCTGGAGTGTTTTCCATATTTGGGCTTTCCTCAGTTTGACTTCTGTCCCGTTCACTTTCCTCGTTCGCCTCACCCGGTTTCTCACGCGGCTTTGTTTCTTCTTCCTCTTTGTGACCGCGTTCCTCACTTTTGACCGCGGGATCGTCTCGTCCTTCGCTCGCGGCCTGAATATCAGCCGATGCGTCTTCGTCCTCTTGCACTCTGCCGCCCTCGTCCTTGACGTTGTCTCCTTTCGAAACCGTTGCCTCCGGCAAGCGGCTCGAGTCCTCTGGCGTTGCTTCGAATTCTGACCCTCCGGCAGTCTCCTCTGCCCGCGTCTCTGTCGTCTCTCCGGTTGGCTTCACCTCTGAGTCAGCATCTGCGATTTTCTTTTCGACGGAGATAGCTGAAGCATCGTCCTGAGACTCCAAAGTCCCGTCGCCTTCCTTCATTTTCTCCTCGGAATCACCTCCATCTTTGGCTTCTTTCACTGCCTCCTGCTCCGTTGCCTCGACGCGGTCTCCCATCTCATCTTTAAGGTCGTCAGAGTCCTCACGGGGTTCTTCTCGTCCTGCTTCGGCATCTTCTTTTGGCTCGGACGCTTCGTCGACTTGAGATTCCACCAGAACTGCTTCTGAAAATGCACACAAACAGGTTGCGTGTTTTATTTTTTTCCCCCCCAACAGAGTTTTAAAGAGGAATTAAAGTTTGATACCATCTTTTTTTAGCTCCTGGCCTTGGTCTGCGGACGGCAGCTTCTCCTCTTCGGTATTGGTCTCGCTCAGCTCTGGCTCAAAGCTGCACTGAGACTCCTTCGGGATGGCTTCGGCAAGCTTTTCCTGCACAGATTTGGCTTGGGGAAGACCAAGGTACACAGCAAATGCGATAACGTCAGCCATTTAGGGGACATTCAAGGAGGTTTGAAAAGAAAGAGACCCAGCGAGGAAGCATAAAATCACACACCAACACTCAACACCGTAGATCTTTAATTGGGCAAGGTGTGCAAACAGAATCAGAGGATCAAAGCATGCAAAAGTATACGCACAGACGTGAAATCAGGATTGGGCACAAAGAAGACATTTTCTTCCAAAAGACGAAAGAAAAAGGACAGACGTTGACACCTGGTACAGGAAACATCAAACGCATGCAGGGTAGCGGGGCCCTGGAGGACCAGAATTTGACACCCCTGTGCTAAATATTTGGACACACAGTCGACATTTAAAGCTCGGCATGAATTACGTTTAGTGTGATCGGCAGCTTTGCCAAGAATGACATGAAAGATAGAATCAAATTATGGAGAAAAAAATGTACACAATATTGTCAACCGATTGGAAACAATGTCATATTTTGACCCCCCAAAAAGTTGTGTTTTTTTTTTTGCCACCTCTGCTCAAATGGGCTACATCCTTCGTTCAACCCATCATTCAATTCTAGCCATAAAAGTATTATGAAATATAATATGATTTGTAATTGATTACGTTTTTCTTGTTTTGTTTTTTTTTTGGGGGGGTGATGGAAAAAAATTAGGCTATTATTTTAAGGAAGTCACTGATATTTAAAAAAAGAGTTAATTAACATCCAAAATAAAATCAGAAGAAAACTAGAAATCAATTGAAACGGCTTCAAATGAAGCAATCAACTACAAATACTAAACTCATTCAGAGACAAAACATTTTTTTTTCCACTGACTTCATGCAGTGCAGTCATCCAAATGACAACCAAAAAAAAAATTCACACCACCAAACCAGTAAATTACATTGAGAATTTTTTTCCAATTATCCTATACCATCACATTCAATGATATCACATTTACGTTGCTTAAAAGTGCCCCCAACATATTTTGTGTTAGAAGGCATGGCAGCCCCGTTTGCCTGAAAAGTACTGACACGCCCCCCCCTCCCCCATTTCGGCCATTTTTTTTTTTTTCTGCATTCAAGTCTTGCTAAAACGGAGGGTGGGGGGGGTCACTGGATTCACTCCCATTTACTCACCCCTCGCCGGCTCCTCCGACTTGCTCTCATCTTCTGCCTCGGGGCCCTCTGTCTTCTCCCGGCTCTGTTCTTTCCCACTAGCGGCGGAGACATCCACATTTGTGCTCGACACGCCAACCGCGGCTTCTTCCGGATTCACGTGGTCGTCCTCCTCCACGATTTCCTCTTGAAGGATTTCCTTGGCTTCTTCTGCTTCCTCCTCGTCCTCTGTGGAGTCTTCGACAACCTCCGCGTGGCTCTCCTCGCTGGAGACGGAACTCGAACGAGGCCTCGTGTCATCTTCTTCTTCGTGGTCACCTTCCGAGTCCACTGAAGTTTCGTCTTTAGTCTGCGCGTCAGTTCCGCCGGTCGGAGGTGAAGCTTTCTTTTCGTTGGATCCCTCGACGGCGACGTTGTCGTCTCCTTCAAAGTCCTCGTCATAATCTGCACGGCGAGATGATTCGCTGTCGGTCCTTCCGGAACATAACGCGTGTGCTTCTTTATCTTCATTATCATCATCATCATCATCATCATACCATCTCTGTTTTTGTCGTCTTGTTGCGGAGAGGTGCTCTCGGGTCCTGAGTGGGATGTGCTCCCGGCCTCCTCGAGTCTTCCTCCGGCATCTTGGACTTTCTTGGGTGGAGGAGCAGGCTTCCTGTCCAGCCCCATTGCGATGATGCACCTAAAACATGCGAGAAATTGCATTGATGTCTTTTGTTATCTATATATCGCCCCACGAGGGGCAATTTGCATTGGTCAACAGCAAATTTGAATTCAGGGATTGCTTTTTTCAGAGAAATATTTTTTGATGCTGATCTCAAAAAAGCACATCAAGTTTTTGAGCTATTTTCGTTTTTATTTTATTATTATTATTTTTTTGACCTTGAAAAGCTTGCACAATACCGATTTGTGGATCATGTGTTGTTCAAACTCTAGCTATGTTGCCAGAAAAAAAAATTCCACCTATTGCTGAACCGAACCCTTGATTCATAAAAACTACAAGTATATCTAATACAATGTAAATAAAAATATAAGAATAAATAAACTACAGTGAAAAAAAAGTTCTATTAAAATATGTCCCCCTTATTTATTTATTTTTTATTTTTTTTTTTTATATAATCGTTACAATCCTACAGGGGAAATTTTATGGAAAATGAGACATTTTAAATTGAAGTTCATAAACTACAATCAAAATCAAAATGTGTCAATTTCAGGTTAAAAAAATTAAGCATAAACTCCTACAATATTCGTTTTATTTGTTTCTTTAACTTTGCAGCAGACAGAGTGTGTTTCAATGTTTCTTTAATTTTGCAAAATCAATTAGACTTATTTCAAACCCTAATCGGAAAATGCAATAAAAAACAAAATCCAAAATATAACCGAATAAACTTGTACCATCAAATGTAATTTAAAAGCTTAAAAAAAAAGAAAGAAAGCAAACGATGAAGCGCGCCTTCCCTCACTTGTAGCAGGGCGATGCCCGCTCGACGGTGCTGAAGCCAAAGTGTCCGTGCCTGCCGCCCAGTCGGGGGCCTCGCCTGTGCTTGAACTCGCAGCACGAGCTGAGGCGCTCCGCTTGCAGGCCGTTCAGGAAGAAGGTCAAGCTAAAGGGGAAACCTCGATGTCGCCTCGACAGGAACTGGAACATCTCTGAGGTGAGAACGGCGGGCAGAGGGGTCAAGGGGAAACGACGCGGCGTTCTGTGTGAACATTTGACTGTTACACATCATTTAAGGCTAATTTCAATGATAGCGATTGTGTGAAGATTTTTAATGACTCCAACATGGACGTTTCTGTTAGCCTATCAATGGTGTTTCGCATTATATGTTAGCATTAAGCTATCACGGTGAAATTTCTGTGGTTGAACATTTGGGTGATTGCGTTGACATTATTTTAATTTCATGCGTGTGTGGGGGTTGTAGGGATGTGAACGTTTTTTTTTTTTTTTTTTTTAACTTGGTCTGTCTAATTTTTACATTTTCAGCGGGTCAGGCCCAGCGCTCCCCCGCCACAATAAACGTTGCTTCACATGTACACTCAATCCAACATTTTCCACACATTCACAGTTAAAGCCTTTAACGTCACACATTTAAAAAAAAAAAATTCCCATTATTTTTCAGAAGCACTGTTACTTTTGATGCGTGAAATTTCAATGACACAATCACAAATCATTGTGAACAAAAGGCTGTTTTTCATTCTGACGACGTTTTGAGCAGGCACAAAGTAGCACCAACGACTGACTGGTGTGGAGCGCTAACTCAATGTCTGATTTTTTTTTTCCTCCCTTAAGTATCGGTGACTGGTATTAGCAGCCTTCTTGAGTACCCGATACCTGAAAATAAAGCCTGTTATGGAGCATGTATTCCCTGATGTCTACTTCAGTTTTTTGAGATGAAAGTGAAAATTTTCACTTCATCTCTCAACCACATTTGGGTTTACCTCAATTTCCATCTTTTTATTTTGAGCCATTTCGTATTTCCATGATTTTTGAAAACAGGAACAAGACTATTCTGACAAATTGAGGAGTATAAAGTACACACATCAGTTTTTCAAAATACGGCGCAAACAAAAAAATTAATCCTGAAGTAAAGTACAGTTGAGCACTTTTGTTTCTCGCCACCACTGACCTCCTTCACGGAGCTTGCCCTTATACACGCAGAGGTTCTCGCCTCCGCAGTGTTGCTGAAAGACTTGGATCTCATCCCTCAGGTCCTCCGCGTCATTGGAGAGGTGCACAGATTTACCGAAATACACCATGGTGACTCGCGCTTTGCTCTGCGGCACAGAAGTCCTCAAGAGGGACTGTTCCTGCAGTCAAACGACACACTTCCTTGACGCTTTCTTACTCTACCTTACACCGAAACCTACGGTGCGGTAAAAAAATATTTGCCTACTTCCCGATTCCAGATTTTTTTTAAACTTCCATATATATGACACTTTCATACCACATGATTCATTTTCTCTCGCCAGAGACAACTTAGACCTCATTGGCGTCGACCGCGCCGATGGTCGCGGCGGGGCGCAATCGTCTGCGGGCCCCGAGACCGGGAGTGCCGCCCGGAGTGCAGCCAGGCCCCCTGGCTTTCTTCTTGGTGGCAGGAGGGAGCGGCGTGACAAAGTTGTTGATCACCGGCAGGTGGTAAGGTGAGATGCCGGGAGGGGGGTCCCATGGGATGGACTCGTGCTTCCTGGACTCTCTGTCCGTCTACGAGAGAGGAAAGGCTGCATGGTGAATATTCAGTACAAAGTCGGCCATATGACGTTTGCCTACATCCTGTGGCTTGACCAATCAGATTTGAGATTTGTAGTCACATGACATCTTCATTTTTCTGTCCTCTGATTGGTTGATGAGAGGAAATTTGTTACAGCATACTTCTCTCCAAAATCATGTTTTGTTTTGTTTTTTTTTTACTTTGGTGCGATTTTTTACATCAAAGCAGTCGCGTGAGTGTTTGTTTTGCTCTCACGGTGCAGCCGAACGGCGGGTGGTTGTCACCGAAAGCCTCGTTGACCCTGTGAGGGGAGCCGCATTTGTTATTGCCGCCGTGGATTGGTTTCAAGCGCGCGGGCCGCTGCATCTTTCCTGGAGCCGTGTTGGGTCGAGAGGAACATGGCTGCGCACACGCATAAGACCGCCCACTTATTATTAGATCTTATTTCGTCAAAGGTGGTAGTAGTACTTGCACTCTGGACTTATGTAGGAGTTTTTGTGTCAAAATAAGACTCGTAAAAATCTTACTGTAAGTACAGAGCGCAGTATGAGTACTTTTTTCCACCTCTTTCCAATCTCTTTGGACTCACCGATTCTGAGGATCCGTAATGACCGCCCACAGGTCCTGAGTGCTGTTTTCGGACAGCCTTCTCACCCACGGGCGGGCGCGGCGACATCATTCGGACATCGTCTTCGAATCGCTTTGTGCGTGCCACCTTCAAAACCAGAGTAGTGTGTCGTATGTCATGTTTGTACGGTGAACCTCATTTATCACGCTGGATACGTCCCGATTGTTGGAAAGACAAAAAAAATAATAATAATAATTCTGTATTTGTATATTTGTCAATTATTTTCCAGATAGTTTTTAACCCTATGATTGATTGTAAGCCTCTGCTCTATTGCAGTGGTCTGTGTTGTATGCCGCCGTTGCCAGCTTCCTCGCTTTGTAGCAATCCGCTACTTCTTCGACAATCACACCATGTTTTTGTGGTTCGATAACAATTAATACAGTACACTTTTTTTTTTGTTATAGATGTGTTTAAAACATGTGGGAGGAGTCAAATATTTTCCAAATGCTGACTCTCTATACCTCAGATTTTCTCCCATTGTGAATGGGTCTGCAACGGGTGTTCACTGTACACGCTCCAAATTAAGTCAACACGGAGACACGAAGTGTCCATTCACATGCAAATGACTCACCTTCATCTTGTGCACTCGCTCCCTCCTGGCAAACTCCTCCAGTTTTCTTTTGATCTCCATCTGATGGAGACGCTGTGCGGATAAGGGGAGCCAATTAGCATGACTCATTATGCCGCCAGACGCTGACATTGTTTTTGTGTCCGGAACAACGTGTTCCAACTCTCTCACTGCCCACTCACCTCCATCTCCATCACCTTGAGGAAAATGGCCTGAGCCAGGCACTCTCGGACATGTTTTTGGTGGGCTCTCTGAAGTAGCTTGTGTTTGTATTCCTTATCTGGGACGATGCGCCCACTCCTGGTGATCTAAGGACAACAATACTCTCCCAGCTGAACTAAAACTGTTTCCAAACTAACAAACATCATCTCACGATATACACCAGCAATGACGGTAAATGATTCAATGAACCCGTGTCGCTTTCTGTTGGCGTAAAAAGCAGGAGTGAAGAGAATTTGAAATTTAGGAATCTTCAGCAAAAAAAAAAAAAAATGACAGTGGAAAACATCGGTGTGTCACCATCTAGTGGCTGATAGTAGAATTACACCCCAAATAAACATGCCCAACACCAAAATAGTTATAAATTGCGCCCTCCAAAAATTCACTCATTTTTCGACAGGTGGGTGCAGAATAGAGTCTTACCCAATTTGTCAGTGAAATTTAAATTTGTCGCGATCTGTAATGACGGACAGATGGCAGCTTTGCGCGCTCTTAAGTTGAGGTGCCACTATACTCGGGGAAAAAAGTTGTAGTGACGTAAACGAAGATTTCCACACGATCAGACATTATTTCTCTGCAAATGTAGGAAGTGATCTCGTGACGTACCAGTCCGGCTCTCTGCAAGTGTCTCCTGATGCGAGTACTGCTGAAGTAGCCGGTGAGGTGTTTGTCTGTCAGGCTGTTGTAGGCTGAAATAAGCCTGCGGCGGAAAAAAAGAAAACAAATGCGACATAATCCCGTGACACACATTTTTGCATCAGGTTAAAAATAAGCAGAAACTTCTTGTATCGGAGCCTCTTTCTTTGCTCATTTCCGTTCAGCTCTTTTTTTTTTCCATCAGGATCTTTTCGCTGTTTTTTTTTTTTCTTTTTCTTTTACAGGTGTCTGATTACATGCAGTCATTTGAAGAGATGACATACTTGACCCTGTCCGCTTCTCTATTGTGCACCCGGATTGTCTTTTTGTGGCTACCGTGCTGCTCTCTGCCGCTCTTGATGACCGAACGCTCTTTTGAGATCATTGTTATTGAAGCGTGGCGAGCCAAGACTTTGCATCCTTATGTTGGCTTGACTCTGCCATTCACACGGATCCTCATTTTGCACCAAAATCGTTTTTGTTTTTCTTGTTATACACCAATGAAGCAGTATAGCGCCAACTACTGACCAGGAAGACTTACTCGATGTCAGATTTTGTTTGGCTTTCAGTATCGGTGGCTGGTATCGGCATCCTTGGCAATACCTTACATTTTAAGGCCGGTATCAGTACTGATAGCTGACTGAAAAAAAAGGACGCGTACAATTTGTCAACTTGATAAAATAAAGAAGGAATCAGGACGCCATTAAATACTTTTGACATCTTGGCAAGCCACTTAAAAAAGAAAAAAAGTGGATGTGTCGTGTAGTCATCACTAAAATAACTAATTGTGACTCCCAAACATAGAGAAGCAAATCAAGTAGCACATACCCCGGGTTGAAGTGACTCATGGTGCTCATTGGCTCTCCGTCTCTTTCAGATCCGTCAGATTTTCCAGCTCGCAGGCCCCCGGCGGCCTGCGCTCGGCCGACGGGAAGGCAACGCAACCCGGCAGAGTTGAGACGGAGCACCGAATTCTCATCTGATCCCCGATCGGAGTCGCTGCCGTACTTCTGCAGGAGTGGAAGCGGTGACACTGGGCAGTTGCTACGGGAGACCACGTGACAATGCTGCCAACCGGGCTGGTTTCCACTTACATGCACACACAAAAACACGGAGAGAGTCCCACTGGCATCAAACTGGACGGCAGTAGTGCTGACCTACATTTACAACAACAGTTTCTAATATTTGTTCCATGAAGTTGTTTGTTGTGCTGCTGTTCTAGAATTTGTGTAACTAAATGATAAGAATGAAAATGTATTTTATTATATTAACTCTTGATTGCTATTGTAATTTATCCAACTGAAATTAATGTCACTTTTATTATTCTGACTACTGCTACTAAAACGACAGCCATGACATTATTATAAAATTGTAAAAAAAAAAAACAAAACTGTAAAATATGTAAAAATGTGATCAAAATCAAGAAAAAAAAAATCCACCCACACTTTGTTGTAAACTGCATTTTCCAACCCAAATTTAAAAAAAAAAAAAAAAACCCCCCCCTGCCAGTGGTTACACACGGAAGAAGATTGCAGGTCCTCCGAGCCCCTCTAGAGGACATAAAGGGAATTACAAAACCTTCATTTTCTCGAGGAAATATTGCGGCCTATAAAAAGGATGAAACCAAAAGTGAACTTGCCACTTTTAATCCAGGAGTGCAGTTTTAGAGGACAGTATGTAAAGTGAACGTCTTTTCTGAAGATGCGAAAACAGATTTAACATGATCTCAACCTTAGTGCCTTTGATTAATAGATAATTTTATTTATTTTTATTTTATTTTATTTATTTGTTTTTTACAGATACCAGATTTGACCTGGGGGTGGAGCCATGTTTCTTTCATGAGACGTCAACGCCACTGGGATGACTTGTGTGCCAAATGACTCGATACGATACAATGGTACCTTGACTCACGACATAATTTTGTTTCGTGACCAATCCCATAACAAGAAGACGCTTTAAGCTATCAGTTGAAGTTTACCGTCAAACAAAGAGAATTTCACTTTGTGTATTTTAAGAGTTGGGCATAGTAAAGTCTGCTTAGCTAAATGGCAACAATCAATGTGGAATGCCATAGATGGGCGAACGGATAGCAGCAGTTATTTGAACACAAGGGAGGAAAACGTAGACCTGACAGTGTTCATTGGCATATATTCTTTATCTTCTACAAATATTGACAAATAATTCTGCAGTTTATTTCGGAAATGAAAATGGGAAGTGTTTCAAGGTCATCTTAGTTTTTGCCGAAGGTTATTGGATGTTAAATACTCTTCAATCCTGCTTTTTATGCCAACAGAAAGTGAAGGCTGGAGGTTTTCATAATGTACATCGCTGAACATGATTATTGATGCGTTTATTAGTTTTTGGAGAAAAAAAAATTCCTTACTGCAAACATATAGCGGGATTGGTACACCGTTGTTCTGTTTGTACAATATTTTTGAGTTATCCATTCCTTTTGCTCCCTCAGTATATGCTTAAATACAATTGTATTATTTTTAAAATGTGTTGAAAGATCTTTAAAAATAAATGAAGTACCCTAAATGCGATACAAAACATGCCTAGATAGTATTTAAATAGAAAATGTCTGTATTGCAGAATTCATTTATGGTGGGGGTGGTCGGTTTTTGTATTTTGTTACTCCCGAACACTGAGTATAACCTTGCATAGTTGCCATATATATGAACAAAAGTGTGAAGGCCTGTTTAAACATCAGGTAAGAAGCAATCGGGCCTGCTGGAAATTGAGACAGATACGCTTTGGGCCCGCTAAACACCGTAATCAAGTCGGCATGCCTTAAAATAACAATTAGCGAGCAAAAAGAAGAGGGATGATTATAAATTCCATTCTGGGGTGGAAAAAAAGATTCCCGGTTGTCGACGGGGGAGATCTCTGGGGGGTCCGACGGTTTTGGTGATGGAAGGAGGGGGGTTGAGTTTTTGCAATCAGCGTTAAATGCAGCCGTTTTATGGCTGTGTGATTGTCAAGTGGCCCATTACTTGTTGATAAGAACGTCCCCCCCCCCCCTGCCTGTGGCCCTGATTGGGGCTGAGCATGCTGCTTCCCACTCGCGCCGGCCCGGCCCGGCGCAATCAGGCCCCCTTTTCAGCCCACTGCCATTTTCACTGCTGTGATTTTCACCCATGGTCCCCCACCCTCGCCCAAAGCACCCTACTCAGACGACCCCCCCTCCCACTCCTCCCCTTCAGATTCAATGAGTAGCCATTTACCGCAAGGAGAAAAGGTCGCGCTAATCTGCGGGTGTCAATTGTAGTCTAACCTGTCGCCCTGATTTCAATTAAATAAAGGAGATGAGGCAAAGTCTGTGTGGAAGGAACGCATTACGAAGAGCTTCAGAGGTCAAATGCTCTTCGCTTGGAGAACAGACTCTCATACGCTCGGTGGAATGCTGGCGATAATGCATTTTTTTTTTTTTTTTAAAGTGATTTGTCTTTTGTCTTGCAGAACCCAAGTGCGCTTCAGCTAAAAATCACAAAATAATGGCCGACTCAGGATTGTCTGGTAAAGAGCAGAATTCATCGTTCCATCAATCACAGCATGTTGTCCAGGTCCTGCAGAAGTGAATCAACCCCGTGACCATTTGCACGACCACTGCCATGTTCGACTGTTGGTATGATGTTCTTTTTCTGAAATGCTGTGTTACATATACCTTCCAAAAAGTTGCTTTTTAGTGTCATCAATCTATAGAATATTTTCTCCAAATCTTGGGAATCATTCACGATATGAGCGTTTATTTTCTTTTTGGTCAGCAGTTTTAGGAATGACTTTGTATCCCTTTCCAGACTAATCGATTATTCAATTATTTTATTTCTCATCTTTTCTTAGTGGCAACTTGTTGCAACTCTTTCAGCTTTCTATTGCCATATTAGATCATGAAATTCCACCGGCAGAGGGGAAACAAATACTGGCTCTGATGCCCATATACCCTCATGTGACAACAACAAGTACTGATCATCCATACATGTCATTTTCCTTCCTTCCTCTGGTGGCCTGCCGGACGATTAGAACGCAACAAACTGCAGGATCCAGACGTGATGTCACAAGGCAGTCGGAGGAGTTTTGTTGACATTGTTTTTTTTTGTCAGCTCCATAGCCCGCTAAACGCAACGATAACACGCAAAACGCTACACGCGGTCGGTCGATTGGGATCTGGGCAACATGCGGGCTCCTATGAAGGTCGCGAGCTCCTAACTACGTCTTTACGTCTGCGCTTTTGATGATAAAACACTTGATTTTGTCACTTTTTGACCTCTCGCTATCGGAACGGGGGTTTTAGTTGGGGGGGGGTGCACTGTTGAAGACGCATTATCTGATTTAAAAAAAAGAAGCATTCATCGGCACCGGCTGGAACAGGACACATCTTCCAAGGAGGCACGCTAGGACTGCTAAAGCCCAGCCGAGATGATGCGATACAGAGGCTCATGTAGTGTCATGCCGATGCAGGTTGGGAGCAATGAAGACCTCCTGCAAGGCAAAAAAAAAAAGAGACAGGAAAAAAAACAAACAAACAAGTCCAGATATGTTATCTTTTAAGGACTTAATGTTGAGTCGTATCTTTAAAGGAGCAGTTGGAACCTGGCCATTGAAATTTGGCATAAATGTTTGTTGAAAATGAAGTTTGAAAAAAGGGAATTGTAAAAGCTCATATTTTGCACCCCAAATTGATGTGATTTTCAGGCCATTATTTTGTCATCGTTCAATTTGAATAAAATGATGAATAATACATTTTTTTTGGGGGGGGGGGGGGTAGCAGTATCTGCTATCGTGGCCGGCCTGCCAATAGTGAAAATGTGCATCGCTGACTTCTATTGTAATTGCATTGAAAAAAAAAAAAATTGACCAACAAATTGCGCAACTTTCATTCCCACCAAAAAAACTCTCACACAAACAAAATAAATATCACACACAACAAAAAACACACAATAGTGACTCTCATTGTCACCCATGCGAACAACAATCTCTCTTTCTCTTCCTAAAAGACTCCAAAAAGCCACCTCCAAAAAAACCAAACTCTTATTCACCACCCACCAAAAAAAAAAAACATCTCACACAAAATTAAAAACCTCTCAATAGCGCCACAAAAACAGCAACAACAAGTCAGGCACAGAGATTTTTTTATTTTTTATTTTTTTGGTCCTTTCCAGTCCCCTCATACCTGCACTATTATCACATTGTACTTTTTTCTTCTTTGCACTCTTGCGGGGAAACCACACAGGCAGGCAGGGAATTACTGGGTGGGCGGGCGTGGCTAAAAGTGACATCTGAAATATGAAATATGAATTCTGATCCTCCCTTGGGAAGGATCACTTTGCAGGAGGAGGAGAAGGAGAATCAACAGCAGCAGCAGCAGACATGCGCTGGAAAAGTGAGGCCAAAGTTCATCGCTGCATCCCGGCTGGAAGCTCCGGTGAGGAGGTGAGTACGTGGCCGTGGATGTCAACGGCTCTCCCCTGCAATCCGCGGGCATCCACTCCACCTTCCCTCATCATTAAAACTCAAGCAGTTAATGAGAGCTCTTCAGCTCCTTTTTTCTTTTTCTTGTTTTTTTTTTTTTTTTACTTGTTTTTAATCGCTGCTATTAAATAAATCAACTCCCCTTTGTTGTAGTACCGGTGGGGGGAAAAAAAAAAAAAAGGAAAAGCCAAACGTCAGCTCAAGTGTCGTCTGTTAGTCCAAGTAATGACTCCTCTTAAATTTGCAATTGGTGTCGTCATGGTGAGCTAGCGAGCGGGCAGCGGATGATATTTATGACGAGCGCGCCGGGGTCATTGAACGCACCGCGCGCGCAAGCGAGGACACACGCGACCGACCGCATCAGAGGAGAGAGGAACATTTTTTAAAAAACAGGACATGTGTGCATGTGAGGACTCCAAAGACAACTTTTTGGATGCGGGAGACCCCCCGGTAGGGATGAGGTGCCTTTACAAAATATCTGAAATCTACTTTTTATAAATGTTTTGTTTTTTTAATGACTGCTACTTGTTGGACATGTAAATTATTTTATTTTTTTTTTTTTATGATTTAATGCATGTAAAACCAAAACAAATGCACATTGGCATTTTTCCCCAAAAACTTTAATAGGACATCAAAATGATATTTCATGTACATGCTATTGCACCAAAATTTCTTTAATATTTTGGAGCTAAAATTAGGAGTCTTAAAAAAAATGAAGTAACATATGTAATTCATTTAAAAGTACAGGCGTTTTTTTTTTCCAAATCATTTTCTCAAAAGCAGAATTTAGAAGGAAAATGTATGAAAATGTTTTTTTTAAACTCAATTTTTAAGACTTACTATAATTTTTTTTGCATACAGTTCAGTTTTAAATTATGACTAAGACAAATACGCCATTCAGCCTTTCATTTTTTTGCAGAAATTTAAATTCCAAAATAGGATTTTCTATATTTATTTTGAACAAAATATTCAGATTTGATACATCCTTGAAGCTGCTCATAACATGGATTATTCTTAATCCATATTTGGCCTTTTTTAAACCGAGCAGTGTTTAGGCTATATTCGTTTATTTTGTTACTTTATGAGTAAAATGCTCGGAACAGAGTTGAAGAGATGTGCACGTGTGTGAGGACTTCAAAGACAAGATTTGGGAGGCAACAAGTTGTTCAAAAAATGTAGGCAGCAAATTGCTATGATTTGATTCCCAAACATTTGGAAGCAACCTTAAAATATAATTTTAAAAATTATTTATTTGGGGGCAGGTGGTTGTAAAATAATGGATTTATTTTTGGACTAAATGTTTGAGAATTTCGCTGCGTGAGGAAAAGGACTTCAACGACAAAATGCAACCCTCTTTTTTTTTTTTTTAGGGAGGAGGAGGTTTTAAAAATGACATCAACTTGCATTCATCTTCAAGAAGACTTTTAATGCAAATCTGCTTGTCTTTACAACACACGTAAAACCAAAACCTACTCTTGCACTGGCATTTTTTTTTTTTTTTTTTTACTGTACTATCACTCCCAAATGAAATTCCGTGCAATACATTTTCCATGATTTGTCATAACTTCGAGGTTAAAATGATGATTCGTTTTCTAAAGAAGTTACATTTGCATAAAATGCTTTTTTCCCCCCTTTTTCCTCCTCATTACACCTCAAAATGTGTCGCTTTCTGCTAAATTAGAGTGATCGGTAATTTCTTCAACAAAAAATATATTTTGAAAAATAACTAGTAAATCTTAAAAGCATCGTGAATTGATTGCGATCCTTTAAGACAACAGCTCTTAAAAAGTAACTCATCCTGTAGTATTCACTGTTAGGACCTTTTAAGTCACTTCCACTGAAATGTCTTTCTTTTTAAAAACTGCCATCTTGATTTACCTTGAAGTGACTGAATAATACAAACTCTTCTTTTTTTATTTCAAAAGAATATTGGGAGGGAGCGGCCTTCGGAATCGGACATTTGGACATTTGCCCTCATTTTGAAGCTATTCTGTTGACCTATCGTTGAACTGGAATAACTATAAAAGATACTTTTTTAAATATCAGAATGCTATATTACTTTCGGCCCGGTGGACGACTGGTTCGCACGTCGGCCTCACAGGGCGGAGGTGCGGGGTTCGATTACGGGTGCGGCCTTCCTGTGTGGAGTTTGCCTGTTCTCCCCGGGCCTGCGTGGGTTTTCTCCGGGTACTCCGGTCTCCTCCCGCATCCCAAAAACATGCGTGGCAGCTCAATGGAACACTCTAAATTGTCCGTAGGTGTGCGTGTGAGTGCGGATGGTTGTTCGGCTATGTGTGCCCTGCGATTGGCTGGCAACTGGTTCAGGGTGTCCCCCGCCTATTTGGCAGAAGTGAAAGAGAGGTTTCTGCGTGAAGAAAAACGCTGGGATGAAACGTTGCCTTTTGTTTGTGCGGCACACGCAGGTGGAGGTTGTGGATGAAGACATGTCGACTGAGCCTCTTCTCGCCGCGCGCTTGTGCGTGTGCGCCAGCTGCAACGAAGAAATCGTTGATAAATATTTATTGAAGGTATTTTTTTTTTCGATTATTGCTGTGCTGTTATTATTCTAGCTTTGGGAGGGTGCGTGCGTGCGTGTGTGTGTGTGTGTGTGTGTGTGTGTGTGTGTGTGTGTGTGTGTGTGTGCCAGCTGCAGTGAAGAAATAGTGGATAGATATTTTTTATTTTTATCTACTTAATAGAAATAGTAGCGAAACATTGATGACATTTTTTTTCTTAACATTATTTTGTGTGTGTGTGTGTGTGTGTGTGTGTGTGTGTGTGTGTGTGTGTGTGTATACAATGAGGAAAATGGTGTCTTGAAATACATCCAAGGTATTTTATTTTTTTTAAAGTTGCATTTTCATTGCAGCTTTTGAGGTAATTGCGGTCTGCACACCTTCAGGTATTCATGCCTCACAGGCCCCAGAGAAGAAATAAACAGTCGACTTCCTTTTGTGTATGCATGTGTGTGTTTGTGTGTGTGGGTGCGTGTGCGCGCAGGTGAGCGACCTGTCCTGGCATGTGCGTTGCCTTTGCTGCAGCGTGTGCCAGGCCGCGCTGGGAGGCCACACCAGTTGTTACATTAAGGACAAGAAGGTCTTCTGCAAGATGGATTATTTCAGGTAGACCTTTGTTCAGATTTTTTTTTGGGGGGGGGGGGGATTTTTTTTTTTTCTGATTACTATTAGCTTATTACCATAACTTGAGTACAACAAAAGGATGCACAACAAGTCAGCTGAACAGCCCTCCTGTATGTACAAGTGATGATTGTTAGATGACAGCGTGGGGTTGCATAGACGAATGTTATTATTTATTCAAAACCCTTTCAAGGTCCTTTGAGCAAATTTGGTATTTCGCAAGTGTGTATCAAACCGGTATTTTGTGATTAAAAAAAGAACACAAACACAAGTCTCCTCATTAATACCAACTTTTGTGACACCCCCCCAAAATTTGGACCAATTAAAAAAAAAAAATTATAATAATCACCATTAAAGTGACCCGCACAATCGTTTTTTTGAAGTAAAAATAAACATCTGAAGAAATGCCCACACTCATATAAGAGATGTCGGAGGCGCTTCCAATGGCATCGGCCAATTAAAAAAAAAAAATTATAATAATCACCATTAAAGTGACCCGCACAATCGTTTTTTTGAAGTAAAAATAAACATCTGAAGAAATGCCCACACTCATATAAGAGATGTCGCTGTTAAAAGCCTACTCGAACATCATTTGTGGTTCATCGGAGGCGCTTCCAATGGCATCGAAAGTGCACTGATGGCTCATTTTACGGCCACTCTCAGGGTGTGTACACTTGTGCAACCGCTTTGATCTGAACCGTCGATTTTTGTGCGTGCGTCGCAGAAGGTTCGGCACGTGGTGCGCGTGCTGCGGCCGCCACATCCACGCCACGGACTGGGTGCGGCGTGCCAAGGGCAACGTGTACCACCTGGCCTGCTTCGCCTGCTTCTCGTGCAAGAGGCAGCTGTCCACCGGAGAGGAGTTCGCGCTGGTGGAGGACAAGGTGCTCTGCAGGGTCCACTACGACTGCATGCTGGACAAGCTCAAGAGGGCCGCCGACAAAGGTGACTTGTCATTCAATAACACAGGTCAAAGGTCAATTTTAATCAGAGATGGCTTTCGTTAGCCTTTGTTGCCTTCTGCGCTATCGCGCAAATGCTAATCTGCGTTGCTAACGTTTCTCATAGGCTAATATTGTTGGTCTCAGATTTTTCATGTGTATGAAAAAAAAAACGTTGACAGTGAGGCAAAGGGGCAACTCTTCGATTCGATCGAATCATCGATGGGATCGTTTTTAGAAAGATTCAGTAGTCATGGTCCTCAAATAATTTAGGTTGTATGATAACTTTGTTATGATCATGGCAGGCAGCAGCGTGAACATGGAGGGCGCCGTGCCCACCGAACAAGAAATTAACCAGCCCAAACCTTCCAAGAGAGCAAGGACCAGCTTCACTGCCGACCAGCTGCAGGTCAAAAAAAAAAAAAAAAAAAAACTCCTTTAATTTCCCTCATTAATAAAAAATTTTTTAAACAGATTTGGATACTTCCTTATTTTGACATTATTTGTATGAATTTTCCATCCGATATTTGAATTGGTCTTTTGCGAATACAGGTGATGCAGGCGCAGTTTGCCCAGGACAACAACCCGGATGCTCAAACGCTGCAGAGACTGGCCGAGCAGACGGGCCTCAGTCGACGAGTCATACAGGTTCAGCCTATCGTCAACATACAAAACAAAAATGATCAACCGACAACCATGATTCGGAAAATAATTGGAATATTATCATCTAGCATGACGATGTATGTGAAGGCAGACTCGATTGTCCAGGTGTGGTTCCAGAACTGCCGAGCGCGCCACAAGAAGCACGTGAGCCCCAACCACACGTCCGGCGCCCCCCTTACCTCTCTGCAGCCTGCCCGCCTGGCCCCGCCCACGCCTACCCCCGAGGAGCTGCAGTACACCACCTACGAGGGTCCGGAAGGTTCCATGTTGTCGGCGCTGCACTCGTTCCTCGACAGTGAGCACCAGGCTTTTTATGAACTACTATACGAGTGACTGCTTTTCACCCGAATTGGCATTTTTCACCTCACCAACGGTGTGTGGCACGTCAATGCAACGTGTCATGCGCCGATTCCCAAAGCGCAGTACGCCGGCTCCCTCTAGTGGCACCTAAGAGAATCACAAAATTAAATGTTCCTGATGTTATGGTGGCATCAACTTTTTTTCAATCCAGTACATTTGTTCAGCACGGTTAAGTTTCAAGAGCGCGATATTTGCATCGTTCAGAAAGGCTCATAATTGCCTACAGGGGCCACAAGATGGCAGCAAAGCACAGGGAGGCTGTTTTATAATCTAACAGAGGCGACTCTCCGCATTACATTTTATATTTGCTGTAATATAAAAAAAACATTGCTTTGGCGTCATCTTGTGGCATCCCAGTGCCAAGAAATCAGGTGGAAGTCAATTGAGGAGCTTCAGAGATAAAAGTTGATGAAAGATGAAAGGCATATGTACTGAAATGTTCAATCCAACTGAACTGCATTACGGCGGTGATTCTCTCTTGTATCACTCGAGCTACTGCTGGTGGTTCCAGTAGCCCACTTTGACCATCACTGGATGAGATTTTGCAGGTGTACCTAATGAAGTGGCCAATTTAGTTTTTTTTCGTCCTCAGGGGGCCGTGCTAGAATTTAGGACACAATGGATTGAACACCGTTTCTTTCTTTTGTAATATTATGAACGAGTCATTTGTGAAAACGTTCTGATCATTGCAAACCGTGAGACATTCTATCCATGTCGCCTTTCTCAAAATGTTTGATTTTGTTTCATATTGTGAAGCCTCCCTGCCCGGAGTTGCTAAATATTCGTGAAATCTCCTCAGAACGCAGCCCTCAAAATCTGCTTACCAATTGCAAATGGGATGCATCTGCAGGTCTGCAAGTGTAATTTATTGTGTGTATGTGGAGCGTCTTTGATGAAAATAAATGTCTAATTTCACAAACACTGAGAAGTGATGAAAGGGATAACAATTTATGAGTATGTTTTACTTTTTCACCAACAATCATTAAAAATAAAAAACCCGACAATTTCAAAAATCTTTCTCACAAAAAAAAAAAGTGAAAGAGAAAAATAAATTTTGTAGGATGAACATTTCAAGATTTGAAGAAAAAAGTTGCAGAAAAAAAAAACATTTCAGAAAATAATTTGGTAAAAATATTTTTCCCACTGAGTTGAACAGAAAGAAAGTTGACATTTTAATTATTTTTTCTCATCAGGACAAAAGCTTTGCTCCAGGAAAAAGTAACATTTGACAAATGTATAATTTAATAAAATGTAATTTTTTTTCCATCCAAATTACCACAATTTATGTTTACTTACAAGTTTCTCTCTCTCTCTCTCTCTCTCTCTCTCTACCTCTCTCTCTCGCTCTATTTTTTTTTTTTTTTTAATTCCGAGAAAAATGGACACCTAACTTTATAATAACAATGAGACTGTTTCACCAATCACATGAATGACAAGTTGGTCCTCACTGGGCCAGTGTGGTGGGTGACTCTTGAGGACATCAGGAAAACGTTTTACAACTGACATCAGCTCGCAAAACACGTCTGGAGGTTTCTGCAAACATGAATACATTTAATAATCTGCATCTCCGGGCAAAAGTAAACACACACACACACACACACACACACACACATTCATTAGAACTGCTTGTGTCTGCTTGTTGCTTCGCTGTGGTGGACCAAAAGAATGTCATTGGAGCACACATGAGACGTCAGTGGCGCCTGTCACTGTTGTTGACGCTTTTCAAAGATGTTGCATAAAGCTGGCCTACCGCGTCGTGCTTCGGGGTGACCTAGTTCAAGATTTTCTGCAACGCCAGCCTAGGAAGGCAGACAAAGTGGATGTTTGGGGAAACACAAAACAAAAAACAAGAAAAATGCCTTTTTATTACACAAGAAAATCACATTGTTTTCCATGATGAAAGGTATTTTGAAAAAGAAAAGGAATTTATTTTTTTTCAAAGAAATTCGTGATTTTTAATTGAAAAGGTCTTTTTTTTTTTAGAAAAGTGGTTTGATGTTTAAAAGGAAAGTCAATATTTTTTTTCAAACATTTTGAAAGAAAAGGCAGGAGTTGCAGGAGCAGAGTAAAAAGCGTCCGCCTTTGCAGAGAGCCAAGCTGAATTAAAAAAAAAAAAAAAAAAAATTTAAACACCATGAATGTTCATGGTGAACCCTCAGCGGGGCGTGGCGCGGATCTTGAAGGGGTACGGCGTGCGCGTCACTCCGACGATTCCTTCCGAGCTCAGCTCCACTCCTTCCTCAGCCGAGAAGGTGAAGTTCTGCAGCATGGCCACCAAGAACAAGAACAGCTCCATCCTGGCCAGGGCCTCACCCACACATGCACGTTTTCCTGACGCGCACAAAAGCACAGTCATGACCATTTTCCTCCTTGATTTTTAGGCAATCTAGCGCGGTGTCTTTTATTACCGGCAGAGAAAGGTAAGAATGCATTCCTTTTGACAAAATTGCCATTTGAGTCCAGGAAATGTCCGGGGTTGAACACGTGCGGAGTTTCCCATTCGTTCTTGTCAAAGAGCACCGACGTCAAGATGGCCAACACGGTGCTGCCCTGCAAAAACGCAAACAGATGATGGGGAAGCTCACTTCAGTCAGATGATTGACGTGCCCACCGAATTGCGTGTTCATGAACTACCCAGGCTGGTACTACTAAGTGAAAAATGGCAGATTCTAACCAAAATGGCCGACTTTCTATTCTGTTTCATGTATGTGTTCTTGAGATTTTTATTATGTTTTTACTTTTTATTTATTTTAGACATTCCCATCCAATTTCATGTTGATCGGTGAAACTGTGTAAGGGTTATTTTTTATTTTATTTTTTTGTAATTTTCTGGAGGTTACCAGTGAGTGAGATACCAACCAAAATGGCTGACTTCCTGTTCAATTTCTCGTATGGATTCTTGAGACTTTTTTTGATATGTCTACCAAACTAAAACTTGTGTCAGGCGATTTTATTCAACCCTTTCTCAATGACACGACTGAGGGAGCAATGAGCGGTTCCAACCAAAATGGCTGAGACATTTTCTGTAGGGCAGGGGTGCCCATGACGTTGATCGCCATCGACCGGTCGCTCGCGGACTTCTCCCAAGCCGAACGCGAGGGGTGTAGAGTTAAAAAAAAAAAAAAAGTGTCTCTGCTCATGTTAATCATATATTTTTGTGTTATTGCACACTGCACCCTAATAATCCTATCAGTCTCACTTTCACAAAAAAATATTTAAAAATAAAATAAAAGCAGGTCACCTTTTATTTACGGTGGCGCGTGACTTGCGTCACCACCGGAAGTTGTTATCGCTCGGCAGTCTGCAATTGCAGCTTGCGGTCAGAGCCGTTGCGATATAGCTCTTGTTGTTATTATTATTATTAATATTGTTTTTTTTTGTTTGTTTTTTTATTAGTCAAAGTTAATTTCGTGTACAATTCACCGATGGCACTCGCAAAGAATGGCAATCCGGAGCGCCGAGAGAAGCATTTTAAAACAGTACGTGCGAGCTATGTTAGTTAACAGGCTGCAAAAGTGCGTCGCATGCTTCCGCGTCGGGTCTCCCACTAAGGTAGGCAGGGATTTCGTTTTAACAAACTCAAAAACTGTCGACGTTACATCTTAGGGGCCGTTATGGCTGTTGCTCATCGTGGCATGCGTGTGTCAGTGTGTGTGTATGCGCGTGCGCGGCAACGGATCGATCGCGGGAGGTTGTTGTTTGATCGACAAGTAGATCTTAGGTCCGAAAAATTTGGGCACCTCTGTTGTAGAGAATCCTGTTACGATATGAAATGCTGATCCTATTTTGTGTTGAATGGTGAAACTGCTGTCAATAATCAATATCTACCGCATTCTAGACTGCTGCACCTTGGGGATGACGCAGCCTCCCAGATGTATGTCTTTCGAGGCCACTCTGGTTCCGTTGAGGGGAACGACGTTAGCCATCCTCTGGATCTCATGGATGACTGCGTTCGTATAGGGCATGTGGGCTCTGTCGCTCATCTTGGGTAAGCGGCTCGTCCCAATCACTCGCTCGATCTCCGTCTGGGCTTTATCTTGGGAAAGGATGGAAAATATTGACATGGTGATGAAGGGAAGAGTTGTCGCACTCGCTGGAAAATTGCCGATTTAAGCCAGAATTGGCCACTTGGCGTTCCATTCCGGGCACGCGTCCTTGAGCAAAAACCCACCCATGATTTGAGGGTTCTGGATGAGGAAAATGAGGCCCCACTGCAGCGTCTTGGAGGAAGTCTCCGTCCCAGCAAGGAACAGATCCATACAGCACAGAACCAGATTTTCTTCTGTGAAACCCAGTTCTCCGTTCGCTTCGTTCTGTCGGGAGAAGCCAGAAAACACAAAGTCAGGAGCGTCTCCCTCTTAGAGCTCCCGTCGTCTTACGTTGCTCTCCACCAGGAAGGCGTCGATATAATCTCGTGGATCGCTCGGGTCCAAAGCCAACTTGTGGCTCTTTATCTGGGCGCCGATGAACTCCTGCAGGGCTTGGAAGTTGGTGAAGATTCCGTTGTGGGGCCCGGGCAATCGCTTCATCAACGCCGGGAAGGCGTTGTAGAGCTGCGCCCAAGGAACATAGAGTCGGACAAAAGTACTTTTCTCATCTTGTGGTTAGCGTGTGAATTAGCATCTGAGTTAGCATTCGAGGTTTATGTCCAATGCGAGCGATTTCCAGACTCACGTTACTCAACAGGCCCCACGGGAAGGAATCTTGGAGCTTAAACCAAGAAAAAAACCAACATAGACTTGGACAAATGTGCTTTTCTGTTGCCATGATTAGCAGCTAAGTTAGCATCTGAGTTAACATCCAAGTTAGCATCCGATTTGCTGTTCAATGCAAGCGAATTCCACCCCCAGGATGGCATTGTCGTGCTGTCCCAAAGGAAGAGGGAAAGCTCTTCTGTTATTCATGTCTAAGTTAGCATCCGAGCCTCCTATCGGATGCATGTGAGTTTTGCCCACATCGCCCACGAGGGTCCGTGGGGAGTCATTGTAGCGCTAACCCAGAAGGAACACAGTCGGACCAAAGTGCTTTCCTGTTTTCACAATTGGAATCTCAGTTGGCATCCAAGTTGGTGCGAGCAAATTCCTGACTCACCAGGGCCCAAACAAAGTTATTGTGGACCCGCAGCAAGCGAGTCAAGCAAAAGTAATTTTCTTTTGTCATGATTAGTCTTTGAACTAGCGTCAGAGTTAGCATACTGAGTTAGCATCCCAGATTCCTGTCCGACGCGTGTGACTTTCACACCCATGACGCTCACGAGAGCCCGCGCTGTACCGAGAGACCACAGAGTGCTCTTCTGTCGGCGTGACAACGATTAGCATCCGAGTTAGCATCCTGGTTCCCTCACCTGGCCCCACACGGAACCCTCCAGATAGACCAGCTCTGTCAGGTTCTCGTGCAATTGCTGGATCTTTGGATCACTGTAGTCGAACCTCCTCCCAAAAATGACCTGGCAGATGATGTTCGCCACCGCTCTGTTCAACAAGTCCGCCGGATCAAACAATTCGCCTGTGGGAAAGGCGGCGGCAATCCGACAAACAATAATTCATTTGAAACCTTAACCCTCATGTCAACACGCCACGATTAAACGCAGCTCTAATTTGTAATATTTGATGGCTTGAGTTAAAAGTCACCTTTGTGTTCTTCCATAGCCCGTTGCAGGTGTTGGCTCTCCTGGCAGATGCTCCTCTCCAGGGTGCCGTTGGCCAGGCCGAAGGTGCGCAGCATTCCCATGGCGAAGTGACGCTGCGTCCTCCATGTCTTGCCGTTGCAGCACAAAATCCCCCCTAAAGGTGCACACAGGCGAGTAACGCTGTTCTGATGACCGTCCGTATGATACCAAGTGTGCGTACCACCCTTTGCGTGTGCTTACGCTACCTTTGTGTTGATTGTACAGTCTGGAAAACAAGGCTTGGTACGGCCTGTCCACAAACTTGTCAGCCTGCGTCACCAGCACTTCTTTCACCGTCTTCCATCCGCATACGAACACCGTCTTCTCTTGCCCCACGCGGATGCAGAACACGTTCCCGTAGGTTTCAGCCAACTGCACCGGCGCGGCGGGAGGGGAGGGGGGGACACAATGGCGCCCTGTGGTCAGCTGAGGTGCATCATGATTCCGGCACAATATTCTCTGTGTGCTGAGCAGCACGCGGGAAGCTCGCAATTTGGTCATTTATTGTTAATGGAAGCATTGACCAGTTCCCCCTCCCCGAAGCAAACAAAGCCGTGGGAGAAGATTCCAGTCTGGTGCGACAAAGCTACATGAGCTCAAAATATGAGCTCATATTGAAATTCAATTTGGATTCGTTGGTTCCGTTTTAGGTAGTATTATTCCGATAAAGAAGCAGTTTCTTTTTTTTTTTTTTTTTGGGTTCACCATATGAGACTACAAAATCTTTTGAAATGCTGTTCCATTATGATAGACATGTCCACGCAATTTCAGATTGATTCGTGAAACAGGGGCTCATTTCTGATAACTTTCAAGCCCTTGAATTCGATTCAAAATTGCTTCTCAAAAACCAAAATTTCGGACCTCCTGTTCAAACTGAAAACTGGAGCTATTTTTTTTCCCTGACTTTCCAGGCGGTGATCCCCATCATACAAAATCAATGCATTGTCGAGCCCCCCGCAAACCCCCCCCACGATGTCAAGTCCTACCTGCGTGAGGTATAGGTGAGGCTGCTTGACGGGGATGTTGAAGACATTCCCAACGAGAGGCAGTGCGAGCGGCCCGGGCGGGAAGTGCGCCGGCTCCCTTTTGCCTAAGACGCACACCACCAGGAGGAAAAGGGCCAGACCTAAAAGCAGCACCCCCCACATATTTAGACCAAGCAACGGGCTATAAATCCACACGCTGTCCCGTTCGGTACGTCGTACTTGTGCTGCTTATCAAGGGTGGTGCCCATTTGTCGCAGAGCGATTTGGACACACCTCCCGTAATTGAATTCACACTGTGGGGCTATTTGAGCGCCACCAAAACAAACACATCCGAACAAAATGGAAATTGTGGGACGATTTTAAAAGTAACGCTTGAGGTACCTGATACATTTCCGAATATTATACTTAATTACATTCCATCACTAAACAGTAAAAAAAAAAAAAAAAAAAAACCCACACACACAACTTGTATTTTTGAAGCTAAAACAGTCAATTAAGTTGGATCAATTTGAAAATATGAGAATAATTTGCAAGCAAGTTATTATTATAGCCAATACAAGGCTAGAAAACTAAAAATATCGAGTTGATTTGTCCAACATAAAATTTTATTGACGCTTGTTGCCCTGAAATTTTGAGCCTACCCACTTTTTTTTTTTGACATCATACAAACAGAAAAAAATGTTCTTTTAAAATAATGATTTTCTTCAGTAAAAAAACATATAGATTCAATTTCACGTTTCTCAGAAAGCGGAGTCAATTGACAAAAAAAAACCCCACACAAACGTTTGATGAGTTCCAGACACATTCAAATAGTACCAGGAAGGCAGCCAAAACAAACATTGAGGGCAAATGTATTTTTTCAAAGGGAGGGGGGCCGTTTAAAAAAGGCCGAAAAAAAAAAAATCTAAATACAAAATTAACAACGTCGCAAAATTGAAAGCAACAAAGAAACGCCAAGAAACAAAACAGGAATATACTGTATGTCAAAGTAATAGAACTGTCACAAAAACAAAGTAAAATAAGCCCCGCCCCATTTTGTACGGCACATTCGAGCAGGGGTGTGTAGACTTTTCATATCTACACTATTGTTGAAAATGGCTTTTGAAAAGTAAATAAAAGCTCCAAGTCACCACTTGCATCCACGTGCTCTTTTATTTCCAATGTATTGCGGTAATGCGTCATAAGAAGTGAAACTCTCATCCTAATCGTAATCCAGGATCCTCTCGGGGTGTGCAGGCAGGCGGACCCCCATCAGCGCGTTACGGCCAAGGTCCGGAACTCGGCGGGAGAATTGGTGAAGCCCTGAACGCCCTCCAGGCTGGGCTCCTCTCCGGGGACGGCGACGAAGGTGAAGCGTTGCAGGAGGGCCGCGAAGAAGAGGAAGAGTTCCATCCGCGCCAGCTGCTCGCCCAAACACGCTCGCTTGCCTGGGAGGAAACACAGTTAACTCCCTTTGCGGCTTTGAAACCGGCAGCCTGGACAAAGTATGGACCACTGTTTTTGTTTTTTTTTTATTGGTTTTAAAAATAATTCTATGTCATGAAATAATTGGTTAATTTATTCATTGGAAATGGAAGAAAATAAGTGACAATAAAGTGAAAATAAAATATTTTAAAAAATGCACATTTACACTAAAGTACGTAAAATATCTTTTTGATATAATTTAATTGGTTGAATTGTTTATTCCCGTGAATTTAACGTTCAATGTTTTATTTGTCATGAAATAATGAATAAATTAAAGTTCATTTTAAAGCATGAAAAAAAAACATACAATAATACATTTTCTTATCCATTTGTTCATTTATTTATTGTACATGAATAATAAAAAAATAGTACACACATTTGTTGCACATGTATTTAATGTATTATGAAATAATTTATGAGTTGATTACACCTAATAAGATACAAATATGAAAGTTAATTAATTTTTTAACTCATGTTAAAAATAATTATTCGACCAAAAACTATTTTGTACATACTGTATATTTATTTTGTATTTATTTGCCTACATTTGTACATTCCTTTATACTAATAAAATCTGAATCAAATAAACACGTTTATTTTTTTATTTTATGAAATAATTGGTCTATTATTAATAATGTTAAAACATGAGAATTAATTGTTTTATTTATACTGAAATGAACTAATTTCATATTTTCCATACGTTGTATTATTATTATTATTTTTTTTTATTTTTTTTTGTTAACCTCAGCAACAGCTAACCGTTGCCCTCTTTCCCTCAAGCCCAAAAGTGTGCACACCCCTTTTGCACCGGAGCGACGGAACTTTGACGTTTGTCGCCGCAAACCTGCAGAAAACGGCAGAAAGGCGTCTCTTTTGCGGAAGCGGCCCTCCGAATCCAGGAAGTGTTGAGGGTTGAACATCTCAGGCGTCTCCCACTCATTCTTGTCGAAGAGCACCGACGCCAGGTTGGTCACGATGGCTGTGCCCTGGGAAGGGGGCGGGGAAAATGATGTCATACTTACATTATCCCACAACATATATCTCGGCCTCCAGACCTATCATGAACATTTTTCTTTTACCGCCCCCTGAAAGTTCTTTTAAAACAACAGTTTCACCGATCACCGCGAAATTGTGTGGACGTGTTTCATAACGCTGCGCATGAAAAAGTCTCAAGGACGCGTGCCCCAAATTGAACCGGACGTCTGTCATTTTTCTTTGAATCAATTATTTCTCATGCAGTAGTACTCTCGAAAGTGTGGGGGAAAAAAAAATGTTGCCTCCAAAACCAGTTTGACCATTTGAGATGAAATTGTCTCATAACAGGTTGCATAAAACAAACATCTCAAATGCCCATTTTTGGAATTGAACAGGAAGTCAGCCATTTTGGTTTGAAGTGGGCTCGTTGGCTTGAATTCTGTGATGAACTTCGATCGCTGCCAAATGTGACCTGAGTTTCCTAAACGAGATTTTAAGTTGCCAGAAATATGCATTGTCAACGAAACTCACCGTTTTGACATTTCTGTTCATTTGAGCAATATGAAATTTGGCAGGCACGTCTACAATTGGTAGTTGTCCACCTTTTTGTATTTGTCCTCAGTCTTTTTTTTTTTTTTTTACCTTTGGGATGAGATATCCTTCCAGTGTTGTCTCCTTACTGGCCATCTTGGGGAACCCCAAAGGAACGATGTTGCCCATCCTCTGAATCTCATAAATGACAGCTTCGGTGTAGGGCATGTTAAGTCGGTCTAACAGCGCGGGCAGGCGAGATTGTCCAATCACATTGTCGATTTCCGCCTGGACTTTCCCTAGTTAGCACCAAACCCCCCAAAAAAAATTCAAAAGACAAAAGCACAGTCGCGGATTCTTATGGGTTGAGATCTGAACCGTGACGGCCTGTCTCACTTTGTATATCCGGATAGTGCATCATGTACACCAGAGCCCAGCGCAAGGTGGTGGCTGAGGTCTCCGTGCCCGCCTCCAGGAGGTCCAGGGTGGAAACCAGCAAGCTTTCAATGTTGAATCCGGCTTCGGGGTCTTCCTTCAGCTACAGAAAGTACCCTCATTTTAACTTCACGACAAGCAGCGATTGGCAACGGATGAGCAATTCTTCAAAGTCTTTGATGGAGCAGCCCACCTTTTCTATCTCCGCAATGTACTCGTCAATGAAGTCGCGGGGTTGCTCCGGGTTCCACTGCTCCTGGTGCTTTTGCACTTCAGCCTTCAGGAAGAGCTCGATCTCCCTGTAGTTGGCGAGGACTGTCTGGTGCGGGCCTGGCAGGTACTTGAATAGAGAGGGGAAGGCGTTGTAGAGCTGTGGACGGAGCAAAAAATAAAAAACAGGTTGCTTGATGCGGCAGGGACTGGGTTTGCAATGACACTACAGGCCCTGGACCTGTGCAAATGGAGAACCGGCTAGCAGAATGGCCTCGTTGTCCAGCTCGAGAAATTTGCGGTAGTTTCCATCGCTGTACTCAAAGCGGTGTCCAAACAGCACCGTGGAGATGACGTTGCCAACCGCGTTGGTGAGAGTGAAGTGAGGGTTGAATGGCTTCCCTGGAGATGTAAAGCATCATGGGATCATTTTACACTATTTGGCAGGAGTTCTGGAATTTATAACTTTTTCTTCTGGCAAAGAAATTATAGCATTGGGGAAAATATATATATCAAATACGTACATCTCTAACCTGGACATTTCTCGACCCCGCGGCATCAAGGGCATTTAATGCAGGACTTGCCTTGCTCCTCTTTGAAGGCCTCGCACAAGAAGTCACATTCCACTTTGATGTAGTTTTCCAGGGATCGCTGGCCTTCTCCAAAGTGGCGTAGGTAGGAGAGGGTAAACTTCCTGTGCTTCTTCCACAGGTAACCGTTGCTCATCACCACACCTGCAACAATGTCAACACTGTTCCCATGACGAAGCACAGCAATGTTCCTCTCAGTCAGGAAGTGTTGGATGTGTTATCAAGCAGTCCCGAGTTGTCCTGCCACAACGCTCACTTCTGCACTGAACAAAGCA